AGATAACACCTAAAACCTCTTGAGGCATCTCCAAATGAAATCCCAATAACGAGAAGAAATGGCCTCACATCCTTGAAGCAAAATAACAGTGAAGAAGAAGATGCGCAACAGATTCTACATCCTCTTTGCACATCAAACAAATATTAGGTAAAATCTTACCCCTTTTCATGAGATTATTAATAATAAGTATTTTATTTTGAGATGCTAACCAAAGGAAGATTTAGACTTTGTGGGGGATGGACCACTTCCAAACTTTTGTAACCTGAGGTAAGGACCAATGCCACCTTCCATGGAATAACAGTCGGTGACAAGATTTGACTGAAAAAGATACCATCACTCTCTATATCCTAAATAATATCATTTTCCTTATTTGATGGGATATAGACCTTATCTAGCATTTCTATAAGGGACCAAGGTTGATCAAAGACTGCCCCATTAATTCCATTATACGATAAAGTCACATTCCAAACAACATTATCACCTTGCCCCTCAGCAATATCAGCCACCTTAGAATTTTGATCAACTACTTTTTGGAACACATTCGGGAACCTCAGCTTTAAAGGATACTCTCCCAGCCATGTGTGATGCCATAATGAAATACGTTCCCCATTACCAATATTCCACGGAATATTTCTTGGTATGAAAGGTTTACAATAAACAATAGCCTTCCACACTATCGAAGCATTAACACTCCTGATATTACCAATCCACATACCATGTCTAGCCAAACCATACTTGGCCTCCAAAACTTTATACCACAGATGGTCCTTAGAAGTGAAACTACATCGCCACCATGTACATAGAAGAATTTGATCGACTAATTTTATTTTTCTGAGACCCAAACCTCTTTATTCTTTGGAGTATAAACCTTGTCCCACTTTAACAAAGGAAATTTTCTCGCCACTTCAGGTGACGTCCAAAGGAAATCCCTCATCATCTTCTCTATCTTTTCAGCAACCGAGGTGAGAATTTGGCAAATGGACATTTGGTAAATAGATAAGCTTGATAGACATGCTTGGAGGAGGGTAGCTTTGCCCCCCTCCCCCCCGAGGAAAGATACTTAAACTTCCATAGCTCCAACTTCACATGGACTTGTTGTAGCACCTTGCCCCACACCGAGATCGGAAGACTCATATCCGAGATACACAGTCCAAGATAAATGATTGGGAAGGATTTTATTCTACAATTAAAAACTTTGGCCAGAACTGAAATTACTAGTTCATCACAATTTATACCATTTATCAAACTTTTCCTAAAGTTTACCTTTAAACCTAAAGTCACCGCGCAGTACCTTGGGAATGTAGCAATATTTTGTATTTGCTCTACCTCAGCCTAGCAAAAAATGAGCGTGTCATCTACATATTGGAAATGCGATACATTGAGCCCATTATTAGCAACCTGAAAACTTGTGAAATTACCTCTATCTACCACATTCATGATCATAAGGCTAAAGCATTCAACATTTATGGTAAATAAAAAAGGAGATATGGGATCACCTTGTCTTAATCCCCTCAAGGCTCTAAAAAAACTTGTCGGGCTTCCTTTATAAAGCACCGAAAACTGAGCTAACGACAGACACTCATAAATCCAACCATGCCCTTTAGCTCCAAAACCCATTCTTCTCATTATTTCGAAGAGAACACCCCACTCCACTCTCTCGTAAGCCTTTTCCATGTCTAATTTCAAGACAACTCCAGGGATCTGACTTAAACATCTAAAGTGGATATATTCTTGAGTCACCAAAGCACTATCCATTATCAGCCTGTCGTGCATAAAGGTTGATTGTGGCCCAGAGACCACTTGTAAAAGCACATCTTTCAACCTTTCCGCCAAAAGTTTAGCCACAATTTTATATAGACTTGTTAGCAAGCTAATAGGTCTAATGTCAGATAATTCCGCAATGACAGACTTCTTAGAAATAAGAATTATATAGGTTGAATTCACCGCTTTAAAAAATTCCCCTCGGATCATAAAACCTTTAACCATCTCAAACAACTCCCCTTTGATCAAGTTCCAGAATTTCTGAAAAAAGATTAAAGGGAAACCATCGGGGCCAGGAGCTTTATCCCCAAGCAAAGCAAATACCGCTTCCTTTAGCTCTTCCAACGATACTTCTCTCTTCAAAAGGGAACTAGAGTTGTAAGACAAAACAAAAATGAACACGATCAAGCTTAGGAGTGAATCACAAGTCTGAAGAAAGAGCTTTTTTAAAATGCGATACCACAGCTTCTCGCGTCATCACACAATCATCCTGATCCACCCCTTGATAATCCTGAAACATCATTAAGCCTCCTACGAGAGCTAGCAATGGCATGGAAACATTATTATGATTATTATTTTTGATCTAGGTTATCCCTAAATAATTTTTTAGAAGTATTATTGTAATTTTTTGTTTTGTTTTAAGTTGTCTTAAATAGGGGTTAGATAATTGTTAATAATGTTTGAATTCATTTTATTTTTTTAAAGCACTAGTTTGTGTTTGGGGTTTTAGATAGTTTTTTTTTTATGATATTTGGATTTATTTTAACTTCTTGGTCTCAACTTAGGGCATGAAAATGTTTGAGAAAATTTGTATGATAAACGTTTTCCTCTTGTCTCTCTTAGCTTGCGTGTAGCTAAATTATATATATATAT